GTGTGTGTGTGTGTGTGTGTGTGTGTGTGTGTGTGTGTTCAATTTGGAGGGAAGCGTGTATAGTAGTTCTAAAACATAATTTATTTTATTTATGTTTAAGAATGATTTTGTTATAGAATGTTGGTATAATAATAATAATAATAATAATAATAATAATAATAGTAATAATAATAATGATTATGATGATGGTCAGCTGATAGTGTCATAATATGTGACGTTGACATATGTTGCTTCATTTCGTGGAACATCTGTATTCTTTACTTTAAAAATGTACGAGGTGTGTGTCGTCAGGTGTGACAGAGTGTAAAAAGTGACTCATCCCGGACAGGTAGAGCGGGTATGGTTGCTTGGAAACCGCGGCGGAGGTGACAAGAGCGGGGTGTGAACGCGCGCGACTCTCTCTCCTTCATACCTTCTCACAATGTCATATCAGTGGTTTGTCAGGACGCAGATGTTTCGTAATTTCAGGCCACGTACAACGACTTTACACTTTACTACTGGACCTCTTTTTGAAATATTTTTTTTTGTGACCGAATGAGTGGCTTAAAATTGTTGTATAAACTTGTAAGTGTTTGTATTCTGAATATGCGCACATTAGATGTGCACTAGAACCGCTTTTGAAGTGTTCATATGCCGTATTTCATGTCTTTCCAATAGATCTATTGCTTGCTGTCAAGAACATTTGACTGTAAATTTAAGAAATTATATTTTGCATGCAGAAAATCAAGCCTATTTTTAGAACTATTACTATTAACTACATCACTTTCACAATGAAGCACATTTGTAATCCAATTCTGAAATAATGACATAATGACAGTCTTAATAGAGCTTATAGAGAACTTCGATTTGTCTCATATTTAATAAGGTTGCATCATGAATTCTATTACTTTCCTGTCTAAAAGTGCTATAAAAATAAAGGTGACATGACAATGCAGAAGCATCATATTCTCTTTACTGTATGTTTCCTGTAATGTAATCAATATTTAGCAGTATATTGTATTGTGGCACTTATGCTGAATTAATGAATAAATATAGTTATTTGTCGTGAAGATAATATCAGTCTTAAAAGTACTAAAATAAGCTGTTGTTTTGTGTGTGTGGTTTTTTTTTTTAGGAGTGAATTGTGACGTTCTTGACAGGTTTTGTAAGATTCACTGATGTTTCTCTTGCACAGTGCAGTCAAATGTACCATTTTGGTTCCGATATCTCAGATTTAAATGTAGAAAAGGATAGAATTAATAAATGTTCATCTGTAAGTTTTTCTTTTTTTTTTTTTTATTGAATGTTTCATGGGGTTTATGCTACAACGAGCACATTTGCCACACTTTGTTTACTTAAAGTCTCTGCAACACATTGGCATTGTCTTCCCGAAGGCATTGAGAAATGTCTGTGCTGGACACTAGGAAATCTGTCCGTCTTGCACCTGTTGTGAGAGGAAGTGCTTGTCCTGTGGGGTTCTTTATCACAGATCAGGTTGCATTGTGTGCTCATAGTGACCGTATCCAAGGTCCAAAGCTTTCAGGATGCATAACTGCTTGCATATATGAACCGGATCAGGGACGGTAGACAGAAATGCACATCCCTGTTGAACCAACTGACCTGGTTTGATCACATACCCATTTATGAAATGCGTTGCAGTGCTTTCTTTGACTAGATTTTACTTTGCGTATCACGCTGTTTATTTATGAAATGTGGGAATGCTCCTGTTGCATATCACACTCAGTTCTGCAGAAATGTATTGAACCATGCTTATGCATTGTGTCTGTTGCTTGCAAAACAGCCCTGCAATAAAATGTTCTATAAAATGCTAATTGCGGTTTAATAGGGTACATGAGTTGTTTGTATCTCTGGAAGACCGTTGTAATGTTGGTGATTTGATAGCTTGTCAGCATGATATGTGTTTGTAAGCTAAAACCAGAATGAACCTTGCCTCCAGGTCCATCACTCTTCACGTTCTCAGGGGTGTAAAGCTGGTTTCTCAAAGAGCGAAAAACATTTTACTGGATTCTACTCTAGAAGCAACTGCTTTCTCCAGTGTTACACCAAATGGTAACGCTAGATGCAATTTCCTTTAAACATAAGTTGTGTTCCCAAGGCAGGAAATTTGAGACTCATTTGCATACATCATTTGATATTAGATGACTTCCTCTGAGTTTAGCATTTGCACGATACTCTCAGAGAGTCATGCTTGCAGACAAAATTGCAGAGCAGTATTTCCTTTGAATGAAGCAAAGTGATAAATTGTATGCTGTCAATGCATCCTACATGACAGGATTGAGTCTTTTGTGGTGAAGTTTGTGCTGTTTTGTGTGTGTGACATCTAAGAGAGCATTTGGTTGGGCTCTATCCTCGGGGCTTTGGGGGCATAAGTGTCGTTTAGTGCTGTCAAACTGAGCGCTTGTCATACCACAGGCTGTGAAGCTCAGCAGAATGTTGCTCGATGTTCTTTTCTGAAAGAGCGCGACTAGAGTCCCGTGCACATGGCTGATTGCATTGCAAAGCGATGGGATGCGAGGAGGAGGTGTGCTGGTAGCCCAGGGCACGCTGCTCCATAAACAACTAGACAATGTCTCAGTTCTTCCACAACAACACCAAAACCATTGCACTGATCTCAGTTAGGGTTTGAATGTTCATATGGTCATAATAGAGGTAATGATAAAATTTCACTGCTCAAATGTTGCTCTTTCATAGCTTAACGGAGCACTTGATTGTATTTCTTTCAAGTATTCACTTTTTCTTGGATGTTCTCTTAAAATTCCTCGAAGAAATTAAAATATACACAAATAAGACAATGTGAAAATTAATTGTTCGAAGTTGTAAATAAGGCAAAGATTATTGTTTAAAATACTTTTTACAAAAACTTTTTTTTTTGTCTTTCTACTTCAAAATTTTACATTTATTTCAATTTTATTTGCCATTTCTATGTCATTAATTGTCAAAGAGCAAGCAAAAGCACGCACATCGATCTTAAATGGGTGTTCGACTAAAAAACAAGTAGAAAAATGTATAAATGTAAAGTCGGCAACACCAAAGCTCCAAAAATATCAAAAATGTATTTAAAACATTTTCCCATAGTGTGTTACGTTTCGAGCACGCAGGATCTTCATCAGACCAGGGTCTTCGTCAGGGTCTGATGAAGAGCCTGCATGCTCGAAATGTAACACGTTATGCGAACATTTTTTAATTAATTTTTTGATATTTTTGGAGCTTTGGTGTTGCCGACTTTATATATAAGGCACAATATGTAAGATTTTTTTTATTAGAATATCCAAAAACCACTAGAACGGTGTTATATATTTTGCTGACTTGTGTACTTACATTATCCCAAATGTTTCGAAGAATGTTTAAATCCAGAGAAATAAGCAATTTTAACTAGTGACACGGAGCGTGTCCATAGTGTCATTGTGTCGCCTGCTAATGACGTCATAACCCCTCGATATCCGGTTTTGATTTGTAGAAAACATGGAAACAACAAAGACGCTTTAATATGTTTTGCGTTTTAATAGACCGGTGACGACTGCACAGAGTAGCATTATAACAGAACTTTCAAATGTATCTAGTATGATAAAACAGCGCTGCTTTACCCCACATACGCACGACCGGAAGGAGCGGAAGCGGTCGAGTGTGGCATAATAAAAGCTCCGCTGCTTTCGAGCCGTGTGTCACGCTCGTTCAGCGGCCTCGTTTCGCTTCGACGGCTTTCAGCCTCACCCTGCTTCAATCTACTACGTTAATACATCATTAGCTCATCCATGAACATGATTTCTGCTCTATTCCTCCTCTTTGTTTATTTTGAATACGCGCCCTCTAGCGGCGAAAATTACATATTGTGCCTTTAATTGTGAAATTTAGTATAGAGTTATATAATATCAGTTTTGTGGGAAATATTTGAGGATCAGTTTTGTGAGAGATGTTTGAGTTCATATTGAGATCGAGCAGATTTGAGTGTAAAACTTTGAGTCTTCTATAGAGTTTTAGCCGAGATCTCAACCTGTGAGATTCCTAGGTCATTTTTCCTCAAAGTCTCAATTCAAGCTCATTGCTGTATAGGAGAAACAACTGAGATAATAGAAATATCTATTGAATATTCTCTTAAAGATAAAACATGTGAAATTACTGAGGTCCTTTTCTCAGTAAGACAGAGAATTTGAGAAGCAGGAGACTTCATTATTTGTTCCTCATTTAATCAAATTGCTGCATTTGAGAAACACTTGAGATATTCCAGAGATTCATGCTCTTGTCCTCTTATGGCTGTGTTTCAGGTATAGGCCAGCAGCTGCCAGCTTGGCGGGAGGAGCATTTCCTGGCCTGAATGCGAACCGACTGCAGCTGGAGCATGTCCACTGCAGGCTTGACTGCCCAGGAGATCTGTTTACCCGCGCAAAGCCTATTCCTGCGGGGCAGCCATTGGCATAGCATGGCCGGAGCTAAGCCCTCTTGGAAATACCATGATCTACACAAGTGAGTGCAACACCAAAAGCACAAATGCATTTTTCATGTGTTAAACATGTATGATTTTTACAAGACCCTGGACATTCACTGCATGACTGAGCAGAAAAACAGGAAATGGCCTGTGTGCAACATGGTTCATATGATGTTAATGAACCTTGGATTTGTGTATCAATCTGATTAGCTTTCCTGTTCTTAATCTACAGCTTCTACTTCACCATTGATTCTTCTATGGATTATAACCTTCAGTCCCGGCAACAGGTGCTGCCATCATTCTCAGGAGCGGACAGTAAGTAACATAGCAACATAAATCTCCTCATTATGAAACGTTCACTCCAATTTACTCACCCTCATTTCATTCCAAACCAGGTGTTATTGTTCACTCCAATTTACTCACCCTCATTTCATTCCAAACCAGGTGTAATTTTTTTTTTCAACGGGAGGATTTTAAAGCATCTTTCTTTACATTTAGTGACAATTAAGAGCAGCAACCAAACAGCAGCAAAAAACACCTTAAAAATAGATTTTACAACATGCACTATATATTGAGGAGCCATTTTTGATTTAAGAGCAGCAGATGGGAAAAGTTTTGAACTACACATTAAATTTCAGTCTGTTGCTCACATAAAGCTGTTGTATGTCTTCAGAAGGCTACTTTAGTGAAATATAGTGTATGTGATACTTTTATGATGCGTTTGTTGCATTTTCCCCCCCTCCGTTTTGGAGATTGACAGAAGTGGTCATTATGAACAGTCTGTGTATGGAAAGAACTGCAAAATGATCCCTTTGCATTCCACAGAAAAAAACTGCATATGGGTTTGCAGTGACTTGAGGGAGTAAATAATGGTATTTAACAATTCCTTAAGCATATACTATATACTAGAGAGAGAGATGAGAAAACATGTTGTCATTAGATTAATCAAAAGTGCATCAAAGTGTATGTAACACAAACGGTAGAACAAGGTGCTAGCAACACCAAGGTCATGGGTTCGATTTCCAAAGAATGCACAGATCTTGGATGTAAGTCACTTTGGATGAAAGCATCTGCCAAATGTAATGTAAATAGTGTTTAATAATGCTGTAGAAAGTCATAAGCTTCAAGGTGAAGTGCAATTTCTGTGCCACGACAATTAGGTTTTTTAGGTTTCATAATTTGCATAAAAGAACTATTTATTAATTGCAATCTTAAAAACTGCTATATTCTTATTCTCTGCCACCTTCCCATTCAAACAGAACAGCAGACTCCTCTTCAATCACCAAACAGCCCAGGAGGACAGCCCTTGCCCCCCAAAAAGCCCAGACCTTCCCAGCTCACCTTGCACACAGACCCTGCCGAAGACGACCAAGTGGTTCCCTGCTTTCAACGTCTAACGGTATCCGACCACATCAGTCCCCCCCAGACGCCCAGCCGAGTCACCAAACCCCTTCCCCCAATTCCTGGCTCAGCGGAGCTTTCCCCGGATCAGGCTATGGACAGTGAGGTAGAGTTCTTCAATGGAGATGACAATCGCTGCCTAGTTTCCGAACCTTGCTCCAAACTCTCTCCGTTCCGCTACGGAATGCCCAGTCGGAGGAGTTGTGGACAGATTAGGGGCTGTGGACGGATTAACTATGCATACTTTGAAGGTCCAACATCCCAGCAGAAGCCACAGCGGCAGTCGCAGCCGCAGCCGCAAAAGCCAAGGCAGGAGCAGGAAACTCAGCAGAGGGAACAGGAGCTCCGTGACCAGCAGCAAAACTGTCTCCGACAGCAGGAACGTACGCAAAGGAAGCTGCGGCGCTCCCATTCCGGCCCCGCTGGCTGCTTTAACAAACCCACCTCCTTCCGACTGTCCAGTCACCACCGGAACACACAAGGCCTGGATAAACCGGAAGTTCCTCCCAGAGTTCCAATTCCACCACGACCAATCAAGACAGGAGACTACCGCCGCTGGTCAGCCGAAGTGTCATCGGGAGCCAACAGCGATGATGACCGACCTCCAAAAGTACCTCCTAGGGAACCTTTATCCGGCAGTAGTTCCCGCACCCCGAGCCCAAAGAGCCTTTCAATGTACCTCAACAGGATCATGCCCCCAACACAGAGCTTTGCCCCGGACCCTAAATATGTCAGTCGCGGCCTGCAGCGGCAGAATAGTGAAGGCTCCCCGTGCATTCTGCCCATCATGGAGAACGGCAGGAAAGCAAGCACCACGCACTACTTCCTTTTGCCACAACGTCCGTCGTACCTGGACAAACATGAGCAGTATTTTACGGACAGCACAGCGAGTCGAGGCACGGACACCTCTGATTCGAGTTCAGACTGGGACTGTCAAAGCAAAAGGAAAACGACACACCAAATAGACCTGGTATGAAATAACCGGGGCACGCTTGTCTGATGACCCCTGAGACTTTTTCCGCTGCTTTGTCGCAGCTTTGCTCTAGCGCTCCGAGCGAGTTACGTATGAATTGCAGTTACTGGGATTTCTCTTGTTTTGCTCTCAGCCTGGAAACGATTCTAAAAGTTCTCATAAGCGAGCTCGGAAACGATTCTAACAGTTCTCATAGAGCGAGCTCGGAAACTATTTCGATGTTGTTGTTTTTTTGTTTGTTTTTTTAATTCATTGTTATGTGAAATGTAAGTGTTGAAATGATAACATGGTGCAGTTGTTTGGTATTAGCTGGTCTGGTACCTCCATACTTCAGTGTTGTAAATTTTCGTAGTCATTTTATATTGCATTGAAGATTATTTGTATGTCTCGGAACATGTAGTTGAACACGTTCAATGATCATAGGGACATAGGGTCAGTAAATGCTTCTTTGTTTGTATCGTCTACCATATATGAAGTATAAAAACGGCCTGACTTTTTCACGGCCGGCATTTTAAGTGAAGGGTATTCCATTTTATTGCATTGCATAATGCATGCAAGCACGAAATCTGACACATGCACACTATTTCGCAGTTCTTCTGTTAGACTAATGATCTCACCTTTTTGTCAGTACAGTCTGTAGTCTTGATTGTGTGTTACATAGGAACAGGCTAATTATTGCTTTTCTGTGTGTGTGAGTGATACGAGAGCTGAATGTGTTACATTTGCCCACTTTTGGCACTACTTTGAAGCTTTTATAAGCTGCTTAAAACGGTAGCTGAAATGTTGCCCTCTGAATGAACAGAGTATTTCCGATCCCTGGCTTCTCACTGAGGTGTAGTGTGTTCTTTTGTTGCACAAAAAGCAATACTTGTAAAACCTGTGAATGAGTTTCTCTCCTCTTTAAAGTGCTGTCTCCACGTGAAGCTGTGAGCTATTGTCTGCAATAGGATTTCTCGAGTACTACCTCCCATTATAATTCTACTTCTTAAATACCCAACTACGGATTACAAAGGCTCAACAAATACAACCTACTTTGACGCACACAGGTCCGTACAAGGAAACAGTTGCCCCTGTTCTGTATTTTTTTTAAATTTATGTTTTGTCCCTTTCAAAACAGTCAGTCATTAACACTTCCTCAAAGAAAACGCATCTTCGACCGATTTTTAAGAGCTACGTGGAGTTAAAGTCCATGTGTGGTGCGTTTGGCCGAGCTCACACATACTGATCTTCCTGTTAGACGTGATTGCAGTGGGTGTGGGCACCAGAGACTTTGGCTGCTGGTGAATGAGATGGTTTATTATTCTATATTGTTTCCAGAACCATCATGATAACTCAGTAAATGTAGCAAGTGCCATGCAATTTAAAAAGAGGATAGTAAGACTATAAAAACATGCTGTTTGGAAGCTCTGAGGTCAAGTACAACTTTCCACCTCACGTAGGGATTTGATGCCATGCTTTTATTTTTACCCTTTATTTTACCAGTTTGTGTATCAGGAAATGTTTACATTATACGTTGTTATTTTCCTTTAGCAGTCTTACCTAAAAAAATGAAGGCAAGTTCAAGAAGCAATAGACATCTCTGCTGTGTTGTGTGTGTGTGTGTGTGTGTGTGTGTGTACATGTACAGGTATATATGGTTTATGAGGACACAAATGTGTATAATGACATGGGTACTACAACGTAAACATGGTTTATGAGGACACTTCCTGTGTCCCCGTAAAACAAAAGGCTTAAAAAACATACAAAACGGTGTTTTATGAAATTCAAAAATTGCCAGCAGTTTCCTGTAAGGGGTAGGTTTAGGGGTAGGGTTGGTGTAGGGCAATAGAAAATACAGTTTGTACAGTATAAAAACCATTACGCCTATGGAGAGTCCCCGTAAACCA